GTTAGTCTGGAGGAGCGGGCGTTCCTAGGCAGGCTGGATTTGCATGTGGACCACCCTAGGTAATGCCTACATGTGATGCTGAGCCTCCGTGATTGGCAGATCTGAAATCTAATGAAGGAAATGGGCGGGGACAGTCAGGCTGGGGTGGAATATTCTGGATGATGTTGGACGTCCTCCAGCCAGGAAATGAGGCGGAGCTCTATCTGACTCGCTGCAGCTTCTAATGTACATTGTGAGAAGCTCCCAGTGTGCAGTGACATCAGAGGAAGAGGGGAGGAGCCGATACAACTGTGCAAGACTGAAGAGAAGGACAGAGGTTAGATAGAAGACTGAAGGGGAGGACGGAGGTCCGATAGAAGACTGAAGGGAAGGACGGAGGTCAGATAGAAGAGAGAAGGGAAGGACGGAGGTCAGATAGAAGAGAGAAGGGAAGGACGAAGGTCAGATAGAAGACTGAAGGGAAGGACGGAGGTCAGATAGAAGACTGAAGGGGAGGACGGAGGTCAGATAGAAGACTGAAGGGAAGGACTGAGGTCAGATATAAGACTGAAGGGAAGGACGGAGGTCAGATAGAAGACTGAAGGGGAGGACGGAGGTCAGATAGAAGACTGAAGGGAAGGACGGAGGTCAGATATAAGACTGAAGGGAAGGACGGAGGTCAGATAGAAGACTGAAGGGGAGGACGGAGGTCAGATAGAAGACTGAAGGGAAGGACGGAGGTCAGATATAAGACTGAAGGGGAGGACGGAGGTCAGATAGAAGACTGAAGGGAAGGACGGAGGTCAGATAGAAGGCTGAAGGGAAGGATGGAGGTCAGACAGAAGACTGAAGGGAAGGACAGAAGTCAGATGAAAGACTGAAGGGAAGGACGGAGGTCAGATAGAAGACTGAAGGGGAGGACGGAGGTCAGATAGAAGACTGAAGGGAAGGACGGAGGTCAGATATAAGACTGAAGGGGAGGACAGAGGTCAGATAGAAGACTGAAGGGAAGGACAGAAGTCAGATGAAAGACTGAAGGGAAGGACGGAGGTCAGATGAAAGACTGAAGGGAAGGACGGAGGTCAGATAGAAGACTGAAGGGAAGGACGGAGGTCAGATATAAGACTGAAGTGGAGGCCGGAGCTCAGATTTAATGTAATAATGTTTAATTTATAAGAATAAAGAACATAAATGAATTGCATTCTCTCCCAAATAAAAGGCTGCGTCAGTTGCGGGTCCCGTCACGTGGAATGACAGAGGCAGCAGTGTTCCTCGCTGTGCTCAGGCTGTGAAACGCATCATATTCGTATATTGAATCATTTCATCGATGTCAGCAGACGCCGGATTGGACAATCTCCGCATTGTCCGCCGTCAGATACAGCCGTGTCAGCGGGGAGTTTGTTTGCGCCTCGGGAACGGGTCGCTCGCGTTCCTTGTGTCTGTCCAGTGCTGCTGAGCCCAAGCTGAACTCAGATTTAGTTGTGAGATTTTGCCGAAACGTGACTTCTCCCTAAAATGTTGGTTCCAGAAGTCCGCCGGGCCCGCCAGGAACATAAGAGCCCCAGTGTTGTCTCCAGATTGCGATCCCGACCCGACGCGCCCTCCAAATTATATTTATCATAAATCTGGAGAGGAAATGCCGATTATTCTCCTACATGACAATCCCCAGACCGCTGGAGGTTTTAAAGGGGGATTCCACTTTTAATAATTGGTCCTCTGTGGGGAATAATCCCTCTAATCATTGGTGTTAGTGGGATAGTTGCCCCCAAATCATTAGCCTTAGTGGGATTGTGGTTACCAGGAAAGAATAGCCCCTAAATCATTGGGGTGAGTGGAATACTGGCCCCCAGGAAAGAACAGCCTCCAAATCACTGGCATCAGTAGGAACGTGGGCCCCTGGGGAGAATAGTCCCTCAAATAATTTGTGTCAGTGGAATCATGGCCCACAGGGGAGAAAAGTCCCCCAAATTATTGGTGTCAGTGAAATAATGGGCCCCAGGGAACCATAGTACCCAACTAATTTGCATTAGAGAGATAGAGGCACCTAGTGGAGAAAATACCCCAAATCATTGATGTCATAGTGGCCCCCAGGGGAGAATAAACCCAAATCATTGGTGTCAGTGCCATCATGGACCCCAGCTGAGAATATCCCCTAAATCACTGGCATCAGTCCCTCAGTCACTCAGATCATTGGTGCCAGTGGAATAGTGGGCCCAAGGCAGGGCAGGAAAGAATGGCTCGATGGGGCAGGAGGCTGTGTCCCAGTTTGGCAGGGGGTTGTGGCCTGATGGGACAGGGGGCCGTGTCCCAGTGGGGCAAAGGACCATGGCCTGGTGGGGCAGGAAACAGTGGCTCGATGGGGCAGGCGGCTGTGTCCCAGTGGGGCAGGGGGTTGTGGCCTGATGGGACAGGGGGCCGTGTCCCAGTGGGGCAAAGGACCATGGCCTGGTGGGGCAGGAAACAGTGGCTCGGTGGGGCAGGGGGCCGTGGCCCAATGGTTGACAACCACTGCTCTAAATGAACCTACAACAAAATAAGCTGAACACAAGGAAGACACGTGGACGCAATGCAAACGTGACGCTGCCGCAGCGCGACGCGCGCGGATCCCGAAGCGCATATCGTCCATGATCATTTTAAACCCTCTCTCCAAGTTTCCTTTTGTCCGACCTGTTTAGGAGCGTTGACAAGCCGTCACATTTACAATAGGAAGTGGAGCTTCCGCGGATTACGCCGCGGGAGAGGAATGTATTTCTAGAACACACAAAGCGTCAGCTGGAGTCAACCGCTCACTCCAGATGATGGAGTGACTACGAAGTGACCCGTTAAGGGCTGACGCGCCGTCCCAGGACAGGCAAGACGCAACCGGTCTACGCGGCTTAATCCC